CCATATCAGACAACATCGCATATTTCAGTCTACTTGAGTATTTTACCACGTAAAATATCCACAAATTTACTATGATTTGAATATATAGAATGAACAGATCATGAAACATTGGGATCCCACCAGTAAAAGGGCAGATCTTGTCAGTCTGTAACACAGAACACTGCAAAGAAGGGACTTGTCAGCATTTCAACAGGAAGCAGAAAGGGAAGGAAACCTGGATGGCATCAAACCCTAAATGCTCCAGTCACACCAAGAAAATACCATCTTCTAATGCATATGTATGTAAAATAAAACGTGGCATTTTATGAAACCGACATGATATGTGATTAATGTGACAAAATATTCTACTACAAAAAATAGAGTGTTTTGTTGGTTTGGTATTTCACTGCTGTGGTGCTACATCAAAGTAGCTAAACATTACATTTGGACTATTTAATACTCCAAGGTATTTTCCTAATTAAGATCTATTTTACTGAAATAAACTGGGCTTGCATCTGTTTTTGTATTTGTGGCATGGTTTGGGAGTTTGTTCCTCCGCTAGGCCTTATAAACTGATAAATGCCTCCTCCTTACAGACAGCTCTGTGCAGATCGGTTTTCTTCCCCTTGCCCCCACACCCCACATCACAGACATATGCTGCAGTTCTGTTACTGGAGCCTCTGAGTGCAGAAATCCTTTCTGGCTGAAGCCACGAGCCATGTGATGCGACTGTATTACAGCCTCCCACTTCCACCCTTTCCCAAATAGCTGGTGTGCATCAGCTGTCATAGAAACCCAGAGGAGGCAGCTGTGCTCTGTGTGCAGGAGGGTGCAGGGAGAAGTGCTACCATTCCTCTGAAATTCAATAATTCCAGGTATTCTGCTGAAAATGATGTTTGATCACAGTAAATGTAGAATATGATCGTTTGACTGTTGTCACTGACTTAGCTCTTCCAAGATATTTATCCATCTCAGAACCCTATGAGATCTGTGATGCTGCGACAAACAAGCTGCTATTCTGCACCACTTGTCCCTGTTTCTTTTTTGCAGTGATCACCCAGGATAAGAACATAATACTGCGATAATTTATGCAATATTTAGACAAATAGGATTTATAATCAGATCCCTAACGCCGACTAGCATCACTTTTACAGCACAGCGCCTCTGACAAATGGAACAACACCAAATTTTGCAATCTCTATTATATCTATGGATGCTTTCAAAAAATACCCAAGATAACTGAGGAAGTTTGTGTGTTTGGAAATCAGCGCAGTCATTTATATTCAGCCTGCAAATAACAACGGCACTGACTAACAGCTCTGATGGAAATTTGCATATTCCATATGCTTGCAAAACAGCTTTGAAAAATTTTAGAGATTTTTTTTAAGAGGGAGCATAATGGGCAACGCTTCCCAAACTACTTTAAAATATGAATAATAGTGGACATGCTAAATATTTCTGAAATGCCTTTCGTCATTTTTTTCTTCGGCAAATCGCGCTCACTACAGCTAATTAATTTTTTTTTTTTAATTGCACATGAAGCTTCAGGCCCGTGAGAGCATCTTTCAACAAACTACTCTGAAAATCACCCTGCCAAAACAATGGATGTGTCTACAAGGCAGTTTTGCCACTAAGTCTGAGCTTCTGAGTGCTTTCCAAATTTCCGTGGCGTGGTTTCTGCTTAAGACTCAACGCCAAGGTGGCAAAGTTGGTGGATAGGCTTCTTTGGAGCTCCACGCTGCTTGGATGAGGGTACAGACTAATTGGAAATACTGGTGTGGGCATAGTGGGAAGTAGCCAAAAGCAGATGTTTTGCTGGATATCTTCCAAGGCAAGCCAGATTTATCTGTTTGCTATCTTGTTTTCATAATATGAGAACAAGATGTACACTTACAGTGGAATCTCTTATTTCCTCTCCTTCCTCCTTTCTTCTTTGGTTTAAAACTTTGAGAAGTTTTGGGCTTGACTGTTGCAATCAGGCTATGGTAATAAAAGTAGCAATAAACTGAAATTTATAGAATTAAAAGTAGGATTAGACAGCTTAATATCCAGGAAACTGATTTTCCTGGATACACTCCGTACAACGTAGGGGGAGAGGGAGAAAAAAGCCTATTCTCCCCTTCTCAGAGAAAAACAAGGTAAAAGTCTTATTCAGCACTCAAATTTTCATGATTATTACGTGAAACCAAGATGACCCTTTTGTCCTTTTTTAAGATGAATTACTATCGCCTCCCCGCTCCATTTTGTCAGTTTGGGTACAGCGGAGTCAATACCTTCACCTTGACACGAAAACTTTGTGATTTATCAGTTCTCCTGTTAGGCAGCGTTCCCACAACCTGGGGAAGCACAGCCAATCATGACACGGGGAGCAGACTTTGGTCACAGCTCCTTGAAAAAAAATAAAGCACTCTCTGATGATAGACAAATGTGTCTTGTTAGCAACAGCCAAAAAGCGCTTGACTTGTACTAATAACAAAAAGGCCATGTTGGTCACCATGGGTCTAAAGACGAAGCACCCTGTCACTGCCTTGGTTGGGAAATTAGCAAATAATGTTCCTTTTCCTTGATAAATGGGTGACAGTTCTCTCTCACCAATCATTTTTTAACATTTTGATGCATGTCTATGATCCCGCTGGAGGAACAGAAAAGTTTACTGGCCCTCAATTTTCAGATGATGAATGGAACACTCTAAATGTGCGATTTCTGTATGAGGTATAGTTCATTTTAAGCAATTCTAGTAAATGGGTGTCACTGATTAGGACAAATAGTCTACTTGTGCAATAGCACAAATGGTATGTCTCATTCTTCTGGCCTCCTTTGAGACAGAAAAGAAAGGGGACAACAATGACCCTGATAAACCTGGAATTGCTACTGTTTAAAAAAGAGCCATTATATAATATACATTATCCAGTATGCTATTGACTTGATGCTACTAAATCACTTTAGTATGTTTAGCGTTGCCCTATTAATTAAAAATGTATGTCATGCTGAAAAAAAGCCTTGTAAGATAAGACAGTTAGCCAGAATCTTTTTCCCTTTGACAGTGATGTTTGGAGAAACACACATTCTGCTCTCGTGCAATAAAGGAGTTTGACATAATAATGGGAATACTTCCTGGTTCAGCTTTTTGGTGCTAACTTTGACTGACTCAGAAAGACCCGTCTTGAGGAAAGGACAAGAATATTTGCTCTGTCTTGATTTTTTTCAGCTTGCTAACCACTGATACTGGCACAAGGTCTGGTCGATAAATAACCGATACTGCAATAACGGTGACTGCAAGTTGCTTCAGGACAGCAGGAAAAAAAAAGTAAAGAAAGGAAAGAAAAAGCAGATGCAATATATGTGATGTAGAAATGCTGTGGATTTCATTTAAAAAAAAAGAAAAGAAAAATATAAGCCTGAGTTTTTTCTCTAAAAGGCTTTGCAATAAAAAACTCTGCCCATTGTAAATATTTTTAGCATGCGTTTTGCAAAGTCACTACATTTCATACTTAGGACCAATAATTGAATATGTACAAGAAATAATCAGGTGATTTAAATTTAACTAAGGCATTAGCGCTTAGTTTAGCATAGTAAAAATAGTATGATTTGTGGGAGGCAATTAACAATCATTTGCTCTGTGGATACAAGTAATTTGTTTAAAGAGCACTGACCTATGAGACAGCTAGTTTGTGTTGGCTGTGATGGAAGGGAGCTATTGACTCTAAACAGTGTAACAGCGCCATTGACAGAACCACATTTGAATGCACACAAAAGATCTCTAAAATACTTCAGGAACATGAGATCGTTTAGAGGATGAAGTGGAGTGGGGGTGAGCCCAGGGAAAGCAGCCAAAGTGGAGGTCGTGATACGGAGGCAGGAATGAGCCCAAGTGAAGAATCTGGACAATGTATGACTAAACAGGGCTTCCCCCCCTTGATAGCGTGCCAGCCGCGTGGCGCGATCCGACTTCTTCAACAGGAATGCTCTATCAGAAGGAACACAAACTCCAAACGATTACTGCTTGAGTAATGGCTTCGTAGGCTTAAAATTGAATGCACGTCTTTGTGCAAAATAATCATTTTTATGTTCACATCTAGCAAATGCATCGCAGACCTGGGAATGGTTCCATGCGTTCAACGCTCAGGGTTTTTCTGTGCCTGCTTTGGACACGGTTTGCAATCGAATGCCAATACCTTGCACAGCAACTGGGTGCAGGCTACTGCAAATGAGATGTTGTCTCCTGGCAATCTGTGGTCATTTCTTTAAATGGGCAGAAGTCGTTACCAAAAGAACAGCCACAAAACTATTGGGGTGAAAGCAGGCAACGTGAGCAGTGCCAACTGAGGTCCAGCCACGTCAGGCTGTGAGGCGCTCCTCAAAATGGTTTTAACGTATACCAGGTCTGTATTTATTTGTTAGGAAATCATTATGCAAAACAAACACTTAGAGGAAACAGTAGTGCAGCAGCACAGATACATTGTAAATACAGCACTGCCCTTCAGCTGAAAGTAAACCAACGGAATCTGCAGGGCTTAAAATATGTGTATAAAAGTGCAATTTTATCTGTAACGTAATTTCATTTAGAAACATACAAATCACAATTTGCCATAATCAAATAACACTGCAGCGCTTATATTCTAATTAAAAAATAATCTCTGATATTTAATTTAGAAACCTGGAGGACTTTACCAGCAGAATTATGGCTACAACCTGAACAAACCCCACGGCTCAGCCAGAGAGGGAATTTTGGAAGTAACACTCCTAAAATTTATTATTAAACAAGCAGGTGATACACTATTAGATATATATTAAAACAACTATTGTACCCAGTTATTAATTTGCACTATTCGCTTTTAAATGCAGCAAATACCTCATTAATTTAATTTTAGGTGCCCACCAGTTTATACTGCATTTTACAGTCTAGAAGGCAATTTACTATTAACTGGCAATTACATACAGAATGATTGTTAATTCTGCTCCTAAGTGCTAGCTGCTTGAAAATTGTTATCTCTCTCTAATTTTTGACCTTCTTACAACAGGGGTGAGGTACGCTGGGAATACAAAGGACTAGTAGAGAAGAGCTGGACATGTCATTTGTGACTCATTCTTTTAATTCACCGTGCTAATCAACTGAACTGCCACAATCTCCCAAGGTAATTGTATCTTTATAATAGTTGAAAGCAGTGGGCAAAAAGGCATGGATAGATGGGGAAAGGCCTTCCCTTTGCCTGCTGAGAAACAGCGCGACACTCTTTCTGCGAGAGACTAATGGGGCCTTTTTAGAAAAATCTGGAACTTTCATATCTCTGCACCCTGATCATTTAATGTCTCAACTTTTGTACTTAACAAAGGCTTTGTGCACCACACTACACTCTTGTTTCATTATTCCGCAGCCTTGTTGCCCTATGGTCTACCTCCTGCCGGGAAGGTTAAATGTTAGAGTGCCAAGCCAGACTGCAAGCATGGTGGGACACTGATGGGAAACAGATGCCCTGGGGATTCGGCCCCTCCCTCGTATAGGACTACATAATTTTCATTTTCTGAAATACAGTGAGGCTTGGCTTAGTTCTCAATGGCAGCTGTAATTTCCAAAGCCTATCTCATTCACCCTATCACTTCAGGATAAAGCAAATCAGGCAGAAGTTGCACAGGCAGACAGGCTCTGCCTTTGTCTTGGGGTTTTCTGGGCATTGGGAAGCAGTTGTCTCCCTCAAAAGGTGTTTTAAATATGTTCTCCCATCAAAGCATTAGTAATGTACCTTTAATACATCCTAATGACAGGAGAAGTTCCTGATATTCTCACAATTCTTAGGAACACCTTTACCCAGCAATAAGAGAGAAGGATGATCCCAGGGAAGACAAAACAAATGGCTTTTGCTTGCAGTTTTCCTCACTTGTTTTCATTTGCACATTACCAAGAGATGCAATATAGCAAAACCCGCTAAATTTGCAAAATCTGCACTGAAGACATCATTTAAAGACATTACTACAAAACAATTCAAAATTCAAAGGCCGTGCACTGAGAGCCAGATTGTCATCTGGTTCAAATCTGCGGCTTTCCTTGTGTGCAATGGAATGACACCAGCTCACAACAGCTACAAAACCTGGAACTTACTCCAAGGCTCTTAATTCATTCACTTTGTATTTTGCTGACCGTGTACTTTAGCTCAAGAGACACACTTCTCATGATATCCTGCTGTAGCTTTGTCCAATCTGCATTTACAACGGCATTTTTAAGACTCCGTGATCTTGACCACATGCAGTTATCACTTTTTAGCAAAATGTATTAAATAATATCACTTTGAAATACATTACTAGCACCAAGAGAACCACAGCCACTGCCTCCACATTCGGTAACGCTGGTACACAGGTGAGGATGTGAGGTTTGGTTTTGCTCAGGTTGTAATTTCTTTGGGGATAGATGGGAAATACAAATGCCCACATCTGTTTGGACTGCACCATTCTGAAATGCTACCTTCAGTTACGAGTTCAGCAAGGGAACGTGGATGGAAACACATATCTTTGATGTGTTAACTGTTAAGTCCTAACTTAAAACTACCCAGGAACACACTTTTCCCATTAGATCAAAATTAACAGATAGAAACAGTTGCAGTCTAGTGGGAAAATATTCATCAAAATGCACATCATCTGCACATCGTCTGCAATCTGCATCATCTATCCAATAAGCACTAAGAACTCTGCCGGAATCCCTACAGTCTGTCGAGTAAACAGTTAAAGGCGATTTGTTTTCGAAAGGGAGATTGATTCATCACATCAAATTTATTACCTAGAATCCTCATCCAAAAGCACCATAAATTAAATTGCTATTTCTCCGTTTTTCCCCCCCAGCATCTTAGTTAAACTCATTCTTAAATGCCAAAAAAACTGCAATACACATTTTAGATAAATGTTAGCAATACTTCATCCCAAAGTAAGACTTCTCATGTTAGAAACACTGCAAACCACAAAGTTCCTATTTTTCCTTGCGCTCTTACAAATTAAAATCAAATGTATTTAGAAGAATTGGCATAAATAAGTCCTTTCCAGGGTTATGACTTTTTATCCCAAGTCTCAGGTCTGCAGGAATTTTCAGAGCCAGATTGCAAATAGGGTTGGATAAAGTTCTTTGGAGCCAACAAAAGCTACTTGATCCCGTGCCTAAAACTTCAACTGAACCTTTAGGGAAGTTCAAGAAATTTGGATAGATATTCCGAAGAATATTTTTCTCACTGAATACTTCTGAACTCCTTTCCCTGGTTGGAGCAGAGGAGGACATAACAGTGACAATCTGCTTCTGGCTGCAATGAAAACAGGAAGTAACTGGCATCTTGTGCGAGCTCGATCTCATGAGATATCAAGACATTATGAAGACCTGATTGAGACTCAGAAGCGAATGAAGAAGCTGTGTGCTTACCGGTGTAGACAAATCGGCCGGGAGCACCTTTGCAGAACTGTTTGGATTTGTAGGAAAGAGTCACTTCCACAACCCCTGGAATGTGCCGTGGCGGTGTCTGAACTCTGATGGCGTGGGGTGTTATC